ATTCACGCGCTCCTCGGATGCTCTCATTTCCCGAGTTGTGCTTTTAAGTCGGAATGTGAAAACAACATGGACACTCGTTACTACAAAGATTTGTTGGATTTGTATTATTAGAACTTTCCAACTTGAGTTTACGTGCATTTCTCAGTCGGGAAATTATTTTTCATGTGCGGTGCCGGTGATAAGGGCCTTTTGCACTGCTTTAGTTCCAGAACTAAATGTACAGTACTAAAGTACTGGGACGATTTTGCGGGAACTATTTCCCAGTACTATTTAAAGGGTTGCATTCGCACCTACAGTGTGTACTAAGAAGTGACGTAAGCCGGTCGACAGCGACGTAATTTGTGCGATTGAAAGAACGGAAAGGAGGACTAAGAATCTCCAACGACAACTGGCAGTGCTACATTTGCTACAAGTGCCTGCACTTCAGCGTCCGTCCATCTATCGCTGTTCTCCATACTTGCGAAATAAGTTGACACAATGTTTACAGTATGTTTACACAGCGTTTTAAATCATGGCGGGGGAGGGGGTTTTCGTATGCGTTTGGCCAATCAATGTCTACTTACGTCACGATTAGTACCAGTTGTGCTGGTTAGACCCTGCTCCGGAGTAGGAGCTAATTTGGTTCTCGAAAAAGGCAGTCCAGTACTAAAATCGCACCCAGTTCCGGCGGTGCGAAAACGCCAAAAAGTGGGTAGTTCCACAATTAGTTCTGGTACTATGAAAATGTTCCCGCGGTGCGAAAGGCCCTAATGGTACCGGGTTTCGGTACCCAACCCTACATATGCTTAGGGCAAAAATGCCCTAAATTTAAGATTAGGATGCAAAAAAAATCCTACACAGCTAAATCTATTTTGGCTGTCGTGATTAATGTGAAATGTGAAAATGAATGAAAATGAATGAAAATTAAAGTGTTGATTCCAGCATTGCATTTAGATCTGCTCAGGTTGCATCAGATTTTTATGTGTTTTTGTAGTGTTGAGCATTATAACCAATCGTATTCTGATTGACTGAAGTAATCGGTTAATTTAAGTATTTGAATTATAAAAACTGAAATGTTAAAATGGTTGTAAAAATGTTGTCCCTTCATGGAGTTAAGTTAATTTCTGGTTACAAGTTTGTTCGAATCACTAACCTGAAGTATGAGCAATAGGAAAAGTATTGCTTGAGTTTTCATGTGAAATCAGGCAATGGTAAAACAGCACACTGGATTCGTTAAGTGTTGCTGTCAGACCGATTAAATCAGACTGAGTGTCTGTGAAATTGTTTTTGTCATCACACTGATTGATCTTTCACAATCCGTCTCCGTCTCCTGAGGTCTGACATTCACAAATCTAATCAAGTCCAATTCAACAGCGCGAGTGTCTCACAAAAAGCACAATTAACACCAGCTTGTGTGCTGATCTGAACGCTGAACCAGCGAAGGGACACACAATGAGGCATTCTGGGTTTTAATCAGGTCTTCATGTGGACGGTGTAATCCTTTTGTGTCTGCAAGGGTTAAGCCAGTCTGATTTTAGGATGGTCCCATTTGTGTGTGGTTTAAGTATGTGCGAGTCATGTGAGGACAGCGTAAATCGCAGGCAGGAAGAGCAGCGTGACACAATAACCTGTTTTTTTGTGAGGATTTACGAGGACAGATTGCTGCTGTGTGTGCGCTGAATCAATCTGAATAAAGCTGCTTTGTATTCCAGAACGGCATCCTGAGAGAAAGATTTACTAAGAGAGAGAAATAGGTTTAGATGCACTATAAACAAAAAAATTTGTCTGTTTTTGAGATTACTTTTTGAGATTACACAGAAAGGCTCATGCTAATCCAGTGACCAGGGTGCAAAACTAACAGTAACCACGTGCCAAATGTGAGTAAAAAAAACTAAACAATTTAAACACAGTGGTATTTATAAGGATTTATGAGGAACTGGAACATAATACATGGTTGAAAACCAACAGTTAGAGTGGGTCTAACACTGACTGATGTAAATAACACATGTGATTCAATGCAAAGAGTGACAAACTGAATAACTCTTGAAAAACTAGGAATATTCCTTGCATTAAGCCAAAAAAAAAAATTTAAATACTGAAAAACTTTGAACAGATACAGAGATATGGAAAGGCTTAGGCATGTATATAAATACAGTAACCTGCAGTATTTAAGACTAAGAAGCAAGGAAAAAACAACTAAATAATCAAAAAAAAAATGTATAAATTGAATGCCAAACAGGCTTCAAAAAAGGCCAGAAGAGAATATTTATAGCTTATAAATTCTGTCAATTCACTCACCATTGGCTGATGTTAAAGTTTATTTTGGACCCTAAATGTCACATTTCTACCACACTCTTATGTTTAATACCAAAGTTAATATGTACAACTAACCATAAGGGTTGAAGTTCAACAAATACATAGCTGGAAAAGAATCACTCTCAAGTCTTGAAACAAAGGAGCCATTTTTCTCTCGCTCACAGCCAAAATGCAAAGCATCGAATTAGAATGTCGAACACTCAGCAGTGACCTGCAGCTTTAAACATGAACTACCTGAACGCAGGCTGAGCACACGATCACAAATGTTTATAAAACCCTTCGATCGCCATCCCTGACTATTTCAGACTTCACTTCCTGTATGTATGGTGTTTATTATGCTTTCTTATGGCTAAAACATATCAGAAAACACTAGTATGTTCCTTTCCCTGTATCTTCAGTAAGAGTTTTGGTTTAATCATTAAAGGACTAACAGTAAGAGGGTCACCATAAGGACTCGTACCTCTCCAGTGGTCTCCATAACAACACAACCTTCGCCCTGTTTCCTCATTTTCAGTGGTGACGCAAGATAATATGGGCAGAGCTTGTGCACTGCTGCAGCACATGTCGAAATCTGTGTGTGGTCATGAGTTAATCTTCAACGCAATGCAGGGAATTCTCATTTCATTCTGGTTGTCTGAGCCAAATCAGATCATAAGCAATCAACCCAAAATCTGAGCATAATGCATACGTGTCGCCTGAGCACCTATAGATACTGTATACACTCAGCAATATTTGCATTTACTCAGTTTGAGTCAAACATGACACGCTGAAAGGCAAATTCACAGTGGCTTGCAGCTTCCGCAGGTGTGTGTGTGTGTAAGTGTGATTTCAGCATGAATGGGGTGAAAATAGGCCACAGTCTGTCTGTGCCTAGTCGGCTGCCTAGAGCAAAGGATTGTGTCTGTCCTCCGTCAATCTCTTTTCTCCTCTCCTCTGGCCTAAAAAGAGCTTTCAGCACATCTACTGCCTCAGCAATAATCATTTTAGATGAAGCACAACCATCATACCAAATCTAATTTCTAGAGATGCAGCAATACAGACCCAGTTAACAAAAATATGTTCTAAGAATGTTTTGCTAACATTTTGGTTAAACGTTATTTCTGAAATTTCTCTGAACATTCAAAATGTCCAGCTTAAAAAAAAAATAATAATAAAAAAAATTAATGGAATGTTCCATTTTATCACTTTGCAAACATTATGGGAATGCTACTTTTGAATGTTCTCAGCACCATAAGTTTAAGTTAAAAAAAATTAGACAAACATCCAACTAAAATGTTTCAGAAAAACAATGAACAATGTATAAATAATGTTTTTTTGTTTTGAGAACGTTGTTAAATACCAGATAACCTTACAGTAGAATGAACATTGTATTAACATTACTGGAAGAATGCTTGTTCATAACTAATTTATAGATATGCAGCAATACAGAGTTAGCTACCAAAAATATGTTCTAAGAACGTAATACTAACGTTCCCATTAAGTTATAAAAATGTTATTTCTGAATGTTCAAAACATCCAGTTAAAAAATAAATAAAAAATCTTGGTTATTTGAATATTAGAGAAAACATTTAGGGAACACTTCGTTTTAACATTTTGCAAACATTACGCAAATGTTTTTTTGCTTGTTCTCTGAAACGTTAAAGAGAACTGAAATGTTTCAGAAAAACAATGAACAATGTATAAATAATGTTTTTTGTGCTAAGGTTTTCAGAACGTTAGCACAACACTAGAACAACATTCTATTAAGGTTATCGGAAGAATGTTTATTTATAACTTTGAGACAACTTTTAACATCCAATAAACAACATGATGGCCCAAAACAATCAGTGAAGTTTCAATAATGCATTCATATTAGGGCTGCACGATAAATCGCATGCGATATTTAAATGCGCATCTTGTCAGAAAGCCGGTTCTGTAATCAGCGGTAAATCTCCATCACATGATGCGCGTTAAATATCGCATACGATTTATCGTGCAGCCCTAATTCATATACAAAAACAGGGTTATTAATGTGAAATCACATGCCTTGCGTCTACTCAGGTATTGCGTCTAATCAGACTGATAGTAAAAAAAAAGTCTATATCGTCAGTAAAACATCATGTATCCCATGTACTTCCATTCAACTACAGTTCTGGAGCTCCCAGCATGACAATCTCCAATTTGAACCATTTCAAGCTTTCGTTTCAAATGCACACCATCATTCTAATTTTGGCTCGGCTCTGAAATTCCCACGGCTGTCTGGAAGGATCTTTCCCCGGGATACTCACTGTGATGACAGCCTTGCTGAGGCACAGGGAGCCGCGACAGCCGTACTCGCGCTCGTCCTGGGATTTGTAGTAACTCAAGGTGTTGTTCTTCAGAACGACCCAGCGGTCCTGCCATCCGTGAATGTAGTTAGTCCACTGTAGAGAAACACAAATGCTATAAGAAAACAAAAGCTGTATCTAAGAGTGTGCACACAGATGACTAACAACAATAAACAATTGATGCACAGTTCAATATAGCATTTGATAAAATTATCGAATAGATAGATATCCTTCAAATGGGCGAAGGTTTAGGTCATTGCATGTGGAATGATACACTAATCTCTTTTGTGTAATCACAAAAACAGATGATCAGCTGTCTGAGTCATGAGGAGAGGTTTCTCCACTAATCCCATCAGGAAGAAAAGACAGATGAACTCTAGTAACCCTGACTAACTCCAGCTTCAGCCCAGAACCTGCTACACACCTTCTGTATTATATATGCATGAAAAAAGATATTCATGCATCAAGTATTAATCATAAAATATCTAAAAACAGTCTTGGTTAACATAACCTTGGGGCTTGCTGTCTAAAGAGCAGCATATGGTCACCATGTACTGGAAATCATCATGGAAAATATACCGTAATGCGAACAAATAATGATATACTATTTAAACTGTTAAGTATTTGTAGAATTTGTTGCACTGCGTTTGATTTGTGCTTAATTTAATTATGAAAACCCATGTGTCCAGGCAGTAATGAGGAACATATCAGAAGTAAGACATTGGGCATATTACGGTAATAGGTAAAAATGGTTTAATTGTCATGCAAATAATATCACCATGCAAAATATCTTAACTAAAATCGGCAAAATTAGGACATTTTCTAGACAGACTTCGTGACATTCATCCAACCGCCTGCCGTTTGTTTACATCGGATCAGGTGGAAACACGCACATAAACGCACGCTTTCCCGGTTCGGGAGGATAATTCGGGATCTTAACCCACCTTACTGAGCACCCCGCCGAATTCCGCCACCCCTCCGTGCGGCCCGGGTCCCGGTTCGGCGTCCAGATCCTCGTCGGAACCGGAGGAGTTCCAGCTCTGGCTGTCCGGCAGGAGTCTGCCGTTAGGAAGCGGACTGGAATTCATAACGAATCCCAACGAACGCTCCACTGAGGGGAAAAAACACAAAAACAGAAAAAACGCGGGCGTAATATCAGCGGCGAATGTCCGTTAGAAGGCCGCGCATCGATTACGGTGTTGTTTATCCAAAAAATCCCGAAAATAAACGATAAATGTGGAAGTAAACCGTCCGTGTGGTAATTTCACGAGCGTCTGTGAGGCTGCGCGAGAGACACCCGCCCCTCGCGCTCTCTCTCTCTCTCTCTCTCTCTCTCTCTCTCTCCAAAAAAACCGCCCTCTAAACCAACATCAGCTGCCAAAAGAGATTCTCCTCACTCACAACAATAAAAATACGCGAATGACTCGAGGAAAAAAAGGCAAATAAAATTAATTCCGCATTTCTATTTTTCCCCTCAATTTTTGAAGGCAGCTTTACGGCAACGTCATCCTCGGCTGTGGAGGCTCGCGCTCGCCGCCGCTCTCCTTCCAACTTAAGGGCAAGGTTGCCAGGTTTTCACAACAAAACCCTCCCACTTGCTATTCAAATTTAGCCTCATCGCGTTTCGGTGGGGGGTCCTCCGGTAAAAATCGAGTTCCGGTGGGTACACTTTTTTTTTGGCGGTGTTCCGCACTCCAGGGGATAAATGTCACGTTATTGGGGTCGCTTCAAGCCGCTGACATGAAAACCAACAGTGTTAAAGTAGCCGAATTCCGCGGGAAAACCACGGACTTGGCAACACTGCCTTCCAGCTGTATGACGTCACCGAAGCCTCGTTTTCCTTATATGGAGACTTTTGCCCCGCCTTTCTTTAGAAAAGATTGACAGTTTGAGAGTTTTAGATAAAGAAACGCCCTCAACATTCATATTGATAACATTCATAACATCCATTCATATCGATGACATTCTAAAAATAATTAATGTAAAAATTAATTATTTATCACTATGAGGTTATATTGTGTGCACCGTTTGTTTTTAACAAATATTGATTGATAGTTCTGGGTAACCATGGTAACGGTTGACATCCAAATATTTACATTTACATTTAGTCATTTAGCAGACGCTTTTATCAAATTAGACTTACAAATGAGGACAACAGCAGCAATCAAAACCAACAAAAGGGCAATAATTATGTAAGTGCTGTGACAAGTCTCAGTTAGCCTAACACAGTACACCTATCAAGTTTTTTTATATATATAATAAATAAAAAGATAAACAAGTAGATATATTAGAAAAAGAATAGAGAGTGCTAGAGTTAGTGGGTCAAGTGAAGAAAACAAGAAACCTTAAGGGTCATTTTTAAAACAAAAAATAAAACAAGTCAAAAGAATAGAAAATAGTAGTGTTAGAGGGACATTTTTTACAATAAATAAAGGGAGCTTCTAGTCATTAAGTGTTTGTATGCGGTTAAGTGTGTTGTGTTTGGTTTCTATGTTTACTCAAATCAGTAACTCTGAAATGAGCAATAATAAAAGTGATGCTTCATCTTTAGTAAACACTACAAATTAAGAAATCTAAATGTGGTTTGTTAAATGACCTTTTCCTTTCTGCCTTGTTTTAAGATCATTCTGATTTTTGGCATTGTTTTAGACTGATATTATTTCTATGAGGATGAGTTTCAAACATATATGCCAATATGGATGCAGGTGTATTCATCAAATTCACACAGATTAAGGGAAAAGCATTACGTAAGCAGGAGAATCCTTTACTGCTGATTCATACAGTAACTTCTAAACAGACAGAAAAGTGTGACCCGTTTCCTCTTCCTGTTGACCTCTGGTGGAGTGCATGTACATATGAATCATCACACATGACCATGAGCTCCAAACTGGTGGCACAACACAAGTGTACTTCAATTTTAAAAACTGAAACCTGCAATTTTCAAACATGCATATGAATTATATTATTCACTTCAAAAATATAAATATTAATAAATATAAATATATGAAAAAACAGCATGTTATAAATATATACAATATTATATATGAAATATAAATGTTAATACATATAAATGTATTAAAATGTAAATATTTATAAATAAATGTGTGTGTGTGTGTGTGTGTGTGTGTGAAAAGTAATGAGGTGGTATTTTGGTCTATAGCATTATATCATAGACAGAGTCTTCTCTCTCCAGTTAGCAGAGCTCAGTGGAGTAAAGTGGCCTGAATATCTGAGCTTCAGTCACAGGGGAGTGATGCACAGCTGATGGCAACTGCTATGAATGAAAGATACTGAGCACTGATCACAATGTAAATGCAAATAAAGACATTCACCAGGCATTTATAAGATGCACACTAGAATCTGTGCATCCATTATTGGGCAAAATGCAACATTACAAAAATAGTACGTGAGTATAAGCAGTCTTTTTAACAATATCAGCTGCCATACCTATGAAAATATGTAAATGGCTCAAAAATCTTAAAATTAGTTGAATGGTTTAATATCATACTGTTAACATTACATCACGATTATGTAATATCAACAATCTTTCTATATGTTTGCTAAGGTGATCTGATTTTAAACATGCTTAGTTTAATGGCCACAATAACTGTAACTATATACATATATATATATATATATATATATATGTATATAGTTACAGTTATTGTGGCCATTAAACTAAGCATGTTTAAAATCAGATCACCTTAGCAAACATATAGAAAGATTGTTGATATTACATAATCGTGATGTAATGTTAACAGTATGATATTAAACCATTCAACTAATTTTAAGATTTTTGAGCCATTTACATATTTTCATAGGTATGGCAGCTGATATTGTTAAAAAGACTGCTTATACTCACGTACTATTTTTGTAATGTTGCATTTTGCCCAATAATGGATGCACAGATTCTAGTGTGCATCTTATAAATGCCTGGTGAATGTCTTTATTTGCATTTACATTGTGATCAGTGCTCAGTATCTTTCATTCATAGCAGTTGCCATCAGCTGTGCATCACTCCCCTGTGACTGAAGCTCAGATATTCAGGCCACTTTACTCCACTGAGCTCTGCTAACTGGAGAGAGAAGACTCTGTCTATGATATAATGCTATAGACCAAAATACCACCTCATTACTTTTGCCATTAAGGTTACACATGCATATCAAAAGCAAAGCATTAGTGCCCCTCCATAAAATGTTCCAGACAATTTCCATTGGTTTCCACACATTTCGTCTGACAGGTCTGGATGAGCTGCCTTCATCTGAATCACTGTAGCTGTGCTGAAGAAGAAAGGGAGATGGGTGGATGTTATGGATGGATGAAGGTGAATCAGTGGATGCATCACTATCTATCTATCTATCTGTCTGTCTGTCTGTCTGTCTGTCTGTCTGTCTCTACATATATATGTTCCCAAACTTGATTGGTTAAATGGTTGAATGGTTGATTCAAATTGTATTGCAATTAGAGGTCATTTGCCAATTTAGCAGACATTACAAACAATGTCAATGTCAGATATTTATGGAATATACATGCGTGTATACCAATTTTTCATAATTGAATGGATCGTTTTGAATGTGATGGCTCACACGATGAAAAATGATTGAGAAGTTGTGAAGAGTTTGACAGTTTAAGTGAGAATCGGCTCATCAGTTTTGATCAACAAGCCATATGCAATTAGTTGTTGTGCAAACTGCAGACAATTGTACTTACTGTTTGCACACATGTGCCAAAGCATTTGCAATTTGCTCAAATCAATAAGAAATTCCAATCTGATGTGAACAAGAAGCTAATTGTTCAGAGATCTGAACTTATTGTTTCGGGGAAAAAAAGTTTCATTCGAGAATTGAGCCAAAGCAATTGAGAAAAACTGTAATAAATATGAATTGATGAAAAAAACTTGATTTATTATATATAATGAAATTGAATTAAAAAGACAAAAAAGATGAGCTTTTTTAGTCTAAGTGGGCAGTTCTTCACCAGAATAAACTGCTGTTTAGTGAGAACCTTTCAGCCCTTCATTATTTAGACAGACTGTAAAAGTGCCATTCATTTAGTATTCATCTCTTTCTGTCTTTCTCTCTGTATTTCTTCACCTCTCACACAGTGAAAACACAAGATGCACATTCCGTCTCAGTGTCTGTCAGTCTTACTCGTGGGATTGAAGGACGCATGTGAGCCACTCACTGTTGGCAATGAAGGGAACATGATCTTATTAGTCATGATTATAGCAACGGTTCTTACAGCACAGGTGCGCCCACATTGTCCTAACCTCTGCAATTTCACTTCCTGACTTTGTGATTAAAATTTCAATAACTGTTAATGTTCATTGAACTCTATTTCAGACCTCTAGTGCCAAGCTTTCCAGCATAGTCAACATATAGATTACTGATACAGATCAACAGAAAGACACATGTACTTGAGAAGTGAAATGATTTAAGATGTTATATCTTGTCTTCTGAAAAATTGATCAAAATTAAATGAGTTTTTGCTTAAAACAAGAAAAAAATGGGGAGAATCTTGTTTTCTCTTTGAATTTTGAAGTTTATTTTTCGCAGATATTTTTCTTTTAAGCAAAAACCCCACTTAATGTTGATACTTTTTTCAGGAAACTCAATGAAAAAATTACGATTTATTAATGTTTTTGAAAGAAGTGTCTTCTGCTCAAAAATACAGTAAAAACGGTACAAATTGTGAAATATTATTACAATTTAAAATAACACTTTTCTATGTGAATATACAATTAAATTTTTATCATTGCTCCAGTCTTCAGTGTCACATGATCCTTCAGAAATCATTCTATATGCTGATTATTATCAATGGTGAAAACTGCCTTTGCTGATTAATATTTGGTGGAAACCATGACATACCGTAAAAAAAAATAAAAAAAAAAATAAATAAATTGGGGTAAGATTAAACAAAAAGAAACAAGAAAAATAATACCTTAATTCAGCAAGGATACATTAAATTAATGAAAAGTGACAATGAAGCCATTTATAATATTACAAAAATTAATGAATGCTTCTTTCTATTCATAAAAGAATCCGGAAACAATCTTAAATCAGATACATTAATTTTAGATTCAAAATTATTTCAGATATTAAGTCTTGTTTTTGTGGAAACCATGATACATTTAATCTAATCTGATTTAAGATTGTCTTAATATTTTTTACTGGAAAACAAGACAAAAAATACTAAGTAAGAAAACTTTTTGTAGCTGGGTGAAATACAGAATTTAAAAATTGGCTCCTTTCAATTCATGAGGCTCAATTTGACTTGAACTGTCCAAAACACACAGAAAGTTGACCTATTTATCTTCAAAGATGGCATGACATGACGTGTAAAATCATCCTATTTATTTTGTAAATACATAGTGCATGTTATATGTTATGAACGATTTGTCCATGAAGGTTTTAGACACAGATTTGTTTTGCTATGAATCAGATTTTCCTGATGTTTGAAGTTCTTGGCCTCAACTAAAATATAATTGATTCCAACCCTTTCTTCTCAGATAGATACCCAAGGGAAATTCACCAACGTTCACTTCCATTTCCTGTG